CACAGAAGTTTAAGGTTTAGGCGGTATAGAAAACCACATAAACTAACTCCCGGTCCGGATAACTTATGCTAGTTTAAAGTATAAAACCTTTTTCCTCCTTATACAAACTAATCGATTTTAAAAGTAAGTAAACTTGGAACATTTAGCATTAGGCGTTTCCTGGGCGATAGTTACTTTTTGGTAATGTTACTTTGGACAATTGGTCCTACAGCATTTCCGTCCTACGATATTTCGGGCGGCCATACGACAGCTGTAGGTCGGAATCGGATGTATACAGTCTACTTTGTTAATCTGACCTTCGCAGGAACTGCAGATCAGCTTGTCCGTATGAAGTTGACTGTTCTACCAAGGATCGCTGTTCCGGTTGCACACAAATTTGAAGGTCGGATGCCATTGCCACATACTTTTGTAGGTCGGATGCACACTTCTGTAGGTTGGAGTTGCACATTTTTTAGGTCGGATGCACAGGTTTATAGACGACATGTTATGACAGGGTTAGGATATGGGGGCCGAACGCTGCGGTCACATTTATCAAATTGACAAAGTGATATATGGGGCCTATAGGTATAGGTATACAATTTCTGGGCCGAGCGCTGGCGGCTACTTAACAACTATGTGTATCAAATCTACTAAATACGTGTGCAAAAGAGTGTAATCCGATCTACAAAAGTTGTCACCGAACCTACAAAATATGTGCACCCTCAATCTACAAAATGTTAATGCATCTAACCTGCATCTAACCTACAAAAATTGTGCAGCCGACCTACAAAAGTTGTGTCTGACCAACAAAAGATGTGCATCGACCTACAAGAATTGTGCAGATCCGACCTACAGTAGTGTGCAACCATGAACAATTACAAAAATCTGAGCAACTGACCAGCTACAGTAGGTCGGATACACGAACTTTTTTTAATGAGGTGTGTGTACGACATACAGTTCAAATTGGACCAACAGTGCAGCCAGAAGCTGCTGAAAAACCACGTGCGGGTCGAAGGTCCTAAGTATCGTAGGACGGATGTAACGTTTGGCGGATGAAATACAATCAATTTTTTCTTCAGTACGCAAACATTGTATATTAATTAACTGTGCAGTGGGAATATATTTTTCAATAATATGACGTCATTATTTATAGGTTATTGATGACGTATCAAATAGTTAAAACGACAAATTATACGCGCAACTAGGGGGGAGGGGCAGGAGGCAAGGCCCCCCTAGCCTGATTAAGGGGGGGCATGCCCCTCCCTTACGAAGGCTTTCCCCCCCCCGTAGGGTGTCACAAAATAAAAATTGTTCTATGTCACATTTAGAGCCTTCTGTATGGCCGAAATATATACCTAAAATCATCAAATTATTGAGATATCTGAGGAAAACTATGTTTTTTCTTAATTTTCCTCAGATATCTCAATAATTTGATGATTTTTGGTGTAGAATGCTCTAAATGTGACATTGAACATTTTTTTATTTTTTGACTGTTGAGTAAAAACGCATTTTTTAATTGCACCAATCAATTAGAGATTTTTTAGACGAAAAATTGGATTTTTTTGAAAAAACTTGTTAATAAGATAAGGTGTAAAGATATTGAGATGTATTAGACCAGCTCAAATAAAACCTTTATTTATCTAGCTAAAAAAAGATTTTTTTATATTACCAATAATCGTTAATGTTTAAGCTAAAACAAATGTCGTTAGTTTGGCTAATCAAAACTATATAATCGCGACAGGCTACTTTACTCGTACTAAAATTTGCGATTTTTTTCCTGCAAATATCTGAACAAAGACAGTAAAAAAGGGGTAGCAGAGGCCTTTTTTTAATTTTCTGTTTTAAAGTATCATTTTTAAAGGACTTTTCATAAAAGGTCGGATAAAATTTCATATTTTACTTAAAACCCTGGGAGCAACTCTAAAATTCTGGGAGCACTCCAAAACCTTGGGAGCAATTCCAAACCCCTGAGAGCAGCCCCCCCCCCCACTCGGTGAATATTGATTCGGCAAATGATAAACGAGCATTCAGTTCCTTTGATTTCAAAGTAACTGAGTTCTGGCCACAAACTCAAATTTTCTAATTCCTATTTATTTTAAACCTGTGTAATCCTTTAATAATATTACTAACCACGTTAACTTAGACTATCAGAAATCATAATTAGATCAGATAAGATGAGATAAAGTTTATTGCTAAAATACATGTATCTGTCTACAGAACGAGTTTACAAAATTGATGATTATATTAACAGTACAAGTATAAAGCATTTAGGTGGAAAATAGCTCTTGGCTGTTTTGATTAATTTTTCCACCTAATTTCAATAACAACATATTTCAATTAAATAGATTTAAGGAGCACTATTAGTTTAAAATATAAAAGGTCTATGAAATCGGGTTGCAAAGATATAGGGATTCAAAAACTTTAAAAAAAAACATTTGAAATTTCTTGTGGCAAGAACTCAGTTTCTATTTACTATTTGTGTATTGACACTAAACAATAATATTCGATTAGCAAACTTTTCAATTTTTTTACGAAATTTACAATCTAGATCAAAAAAATCAATCAAATCGGATTTAACTAAAACCAAGTCGAGCTTAAGCTCAAGTTTTTACTTAACTTGAGCGTAGATATACGTACACTAAATCCGGATACTCGTGTTTAAATCCCAGCTCCGATAAATGAAACAAACTTCCACAGGTTCCGCACAATCTAGAACCAAATCCTTTTTCTAGATTTTCAATTTTCAAAGTCTCGAATCTATTTTTGTGTTATAGCACATTTGAGTCCCAGTAAGTATAAAGGTATTAAATATTAAGTGACGATTTTTAAATCTTATTTGATAGGTCAAGCTCCGAGCTTTAGAATGTGCGTTTGCCGATTTAAGATATTAAAAACTTCAACCATAAACTCAAAAAATTTGATTAAATTTGACATCTTGTAAATCTTCGAAGAACAGAATTTTAGACCTTATTATGGGTGATCTAATTTTTTTGGACTTTCACTGTTCTCACGATCAATGGAAAACGATATATCAAAATACGTCATCAACTTACTGTGTAACGTATATAGTAATACTATAGTTTAATAATGACATCAAATCAATTTGCTTTCTTTTATGATGTCATAATGTTGTAGATTATTTATGAAAATAAATAAATCTATTTACATTTATGAAATAATATATATATATATGACGTCATGAATTTTTATAATTAAACCATTTCTCATCGCTAATACTTTTATTTTTAAAAATTCTTCAAACCTTCTTATTTTGTTGAAACATTATTATTATTATTATTATTATATTATTTATGAACTCCTAATTTTTTTTTTGGGGGGGGGGATCAGGGTTGTATATTTTCTCGAAAAAAATATTCCCCCCCCCCTTATTTTGAAAATCTGTTTTTCCCCAGAAGTATATGCTAGAGCCAAACACTTTTTTGGGTCTTTTATTCGCTGAATTAGGGAAAATAAATGATTTCAGGTGAAATCATTAAATTTTTGGCATAAAAGTATCAAAAAGATGTCACATTTTTCAGTTTCCCTCCAAATTATCAAAAATCATTTTCTGTAGGGGTTTGGAGGGGATTCTGATAAATATACAACCCTGGAGGAAAACTATTATTATCTGAATCACCGT